AATAACGAAAGATAATTAAAAGTAAGAACATTTACTCGATGTATTGTCTGACTTCTTGACAACTATTCAATATAAACCATTCTATATTACGTTTCTCCCCTATATCAAGATGTTTGATTTGCGTTGTGCTCGTCGGTCGACACATGGACTCAAACATCCAAAACTTTGTTTTTTCAATGACAACATATTCATTTCTTTCAAGGCGAGTGACATCTCGAAGGTACATCAAACAAAATGACAAAGCTTCTTCAGCAACATAACCTTCAGCTATACAACCCTCCGACCTTGCCTTATTTCTGACATAGTTTTTTAGTTTTTTCATATTCCTTTCGAACGGCTACATCCATCTCATACATACCGCACCTCCGGCAATCGCTTCATCAGGTAAATGCAAAACTAAATGAATCATAATGTCAAAAAACGTTGGAGGTTAAATAAACTCTAACTTGCACAAGATTCTAATAATGTCTTCTTTTTCTTTCCTCATATCCTCCACCTTCAGTGTTCTGGAGCAAATTTGCTTGAAAAACGTACAAAGATCTACAATTGGTGTAGAAGTTTCTTTGTCCAATAATGCTCTAACTCCAATCGGTATCAAACATTGCATAAGAATGTGATAGTTATGAGATTTCAACCCAATAATATTAGTATAATTATCTACCACTTTCTTACTGATGTTAGATCCAAACCCATCAGGGAATTTAACATCTCTTATAAATTGACAAAAGATTTTGCGGTCAGGTTTCTTGAATAAGTACCTTGCATGTGGTCTAGTGAACTTGTTACCCTTTTTTTGCAACCATTGATTACGCCGGATATTCAGATTTCTCAAGTCCTCACGTGCATTTGATGTGTCTTTACTCTTATCATTCATCATAGAAGTACCCAAAAGACTCTTACCCACATTTTTCTCGACATGCATCAAATCTATGTTGTGCTTCAGCTGCAGAGAAGACCAATACTCGAGCTCGAAAAATATGCTACGTTTCGACCAGTTCAACTCGAATCCTTGCTGATCCATGTTTTCCTTGAGAGTGTTAGGATGTTTACCCGGTTTACGAAGTATTAGACGACCTAGTTGCTCTTGTATGTCTTCATTAGTAAAGTGTCTCGGAGCGGGTCTTGTCTCGGGTTCCCGTTAAATTTCAAACTCATCCTTAATGGATCACCAGCATCTAAGAATCGACGATGACTGATATAAATGACTTTATTTACTGCACGGTACGAGGGAGTGTCTTCATTTCAAGTCCGGCATGCTCTATACCCTTGTCCGCTCCAGCCCGATAAACTACTACGAGCTGGAAAGTCGTTTATTGTCCATAACAACATAGCTTTCATCGTGAAGTGTGTGTTTTTCTCTGCGTCTTTAATACGTACGCCTGATTGCCACAAAAACTTAAGCTCTTCCACTAACGGCCTAAGAAAACATCTATGTCCTTACCAGGCGCTTTAGGGTCGGGAATCAACAAGGCCAACATGAATGATGACTCTTTCATACAAAGCCATGGTGGCAAATTGTATGTGGTGAGTACAACCGGCCACGTACTATGTGGATTACGCATTTTACCAAATGGATTAAAGCCATCAGCTGCCAGCCCTAGACGTACGTTGCGAGGTTCACTCGAGAAGTCGGGGTAATCTACATCAAAATTTTGACAAGACTCTCCATCAACGGGATGACGCATCACACCATCTTCTGATATCCCATTACTATGACATATCATATTTTTAGAAGTGTACCGTGAACAATACAAACAGCGTAGTCTAGGGGCCACTGGAAAGTACCGTAACACCTTATGAGCCACTTTCTTACCCTTGGTGTTTTTATCAATCCACAGATTCTCTTTACAAACTGGACAAACTTGCAATGACTTGTGTTCCTTCCAGAAGAGAAAACAATCGTTTTTGCACACATGTATGGACTCGTACCCCAAACCTAACTTCTTCAGTTTCTTTTTTGCTAAATAATATGAACGAGGAACCTTGTTGTCTAGTGGAAATGTCGAATGCAACAACTCAAGGAGTTGATCAAATGAACTATCAGTCCATTTGTTGTTGACCTTCATATGCATTAGCTTTGCTAAAAATCAAGGAAATAAAACGCACAACCAGGATATAACTTGGTTTTGACTGCCTCTAACAACTCTTCAAAATCTTCATCGACACCGCTACCCCCTGTATTCGAGGTTCCTTCATCGAGGTTTGTATCATTTTCTCTTGACTCCCACATAACATCGTCAATAGCATCATCCATCTAGTTGCTTGGCGATACGACATCTACGACTGGAGGGATTAAAGGTTCACCGTGATATATCCACTTTTTTTATGATTAACTGAAACCATATATACGAACATGACGTCTCATTGCTTTCGGATCCATGAAGTAACGATTATCACATTTCTCACACGGACATCTGGTTTCACCTTTACAATCTAGGTGTAACATGGATCTCTCGACAAAAGAGTCGAGTCCTAGCTGGAACTCAGGAGATTGACGATGTGGATTAGTAGTCCAGCTTTTATCAATAGACGTGATGCAACTGAAACACAATTTAGTGTTTAAGGTTTACTCTACGGGAAAAAAAATCAAGTAGAGTATTCATAAAGTTGATGATTCAAAAAGTATCCCAACATGGGAACACATGAACAAATAATCAGAAATGGATAAGGTATTCAAAAAGTATATATATATATATATATATATATATATATATATATATATATATATATATATATACCCGAGGAGCAAAGAGAAAGTATGTTGCTATTAATTTAGTTTAATTTTTTAAACTAATTTTATTTTATTTTAATATTAACATTAACTTGATTTTAAAACTACTTTAATTTGATTTTACAATTAATTTATTACTTATTTTTTTATTGATTTTTTAAAATTAATTTAATTTTATTCTATAATTACATTAAAATTACTAGAAGTACGTTGCTATTAATAACCTAATTAAGCTAAAGTTGTAATGACCAACATTAAGTCACTAAAAGTATGTTACTATTAAGTTGGTTTTATAATTAATTTAATTTGATTTTATAAAGGTAACTTAATTTGATTCTAAAGGTAAATTAATTTGATTTTCTAATTAAACAAAATCAAACAAATGTATATATACATCCAATTTCAATATCCAATTTCAATTTCATGCCAAATTTCATTTTTAAGCCAATGTGGTATAAACAAAAATTACAAAAACATACACAAAATGCATAAAAACTTCCCACAAATCTGAAAAAGCATACAATATTCCAACAAAATGCATACAATCCAACAAAATGCACAAACACTTTTTATCTCAAAATATACAAACATAATCACTCAACAAAATTGAAAATTACTAACAGTTTAATTTAATCCGAAATTTATTTAAGTAAAAATATAATTAATAATTTCTAAAAAATTAATTAATCTAAGGCTTACTTAATCTAAAGGTAAATTAAATTTATGAAGTTTTACATTAAAACTTTGGATTTAATTGAAAGGATTTTTCCATAATAGGGTAAACTTTGAAGATTTTAATTGAAGTTTCTTTGTTTACGACAAGGTTTTTAATTATTTTTTAGAGCAAGGGACCAAACCGTACAAATCAGAAGTTGAGGGGCTGATCATATATATTTTGTAATGGAGTTTGGTTAAATCAGGAGGTTTGATACCTCCTGATTCCTCCTCGTCGTTCATGCGCAAATAAGAAGCAAGAAAAAAAATACGAATGGTCTTTTGTTTATCCGTGATCTACGAACAAATCAAGAGATTAAAAGGGGATGGATGGAGTGGACTTACGAAGAAGGAAGCAGCACAGGTGGTATAAACAAAAATTACAAAATTCATACAATCCAACAAAATGCACAAACACTTCTTATCTCAAAATTACTAACAATTTATCATCCAACATAGCACCGAAATAGAAAAATAATAGAAAATAGGAGGAATTTGACCTTGAATGTGGGCAATTTCGGAATTGAGCTCAAGGGTCGCCGGTTTTGGAGGTTTTGGGGGAAGGTGTGGCGGTCTTGTGGCAGCAGGAGGGGCTAGCACCGGCTTCTACCTTCGTCCTCCACTTAGTCGACTCGTCCAAGTGATGAAAATGAGAAGAAGCAACAGAAACGAGAGAAGGAAAGGAGAGAACAGAAAAAAATGTCACCCAAAAGGAAACTGCAAGGGGTTATCTGTAAGGGGCATTAGCGGGGACAGGCAATAGCGGCGACGCAAGGGTATTAGCGGTGACAAATCGGACGGATAGGGGTAATTTGACGCAGATTTCCGTTTGCGAGCATTACCAGCGACCCCTTTAGCGGCGACACTGGGCAATAGCGGCGACATGTAACACGTCAATTACATGTCGCCGCTATTGCCAGTGTCGCCGCTAAAGGGGTCGCATGTAATGCCAAGATTTCTTGTAGTGTTATAAAAGGGTGGTGCCTAAACATGTTTGGCAAAGGACTCTCAGTATGCTAGTATGCTACTGGGCTATTCTATGATTGATGAGTTTAATTTGGATTCAAACTTGATCTTGGATTCGATCCCAAAACCTTTTTAATGTTGGGGTAAATAAGAAAATATTAAGGCTCTTTTTGGTGAAGTCTGTGGGGTATTGTAGCCGTTTAACATAAAAAACGATAATGCACCCAAATCACATGCCTTGCATAAGCAGAAAATAACATTCCAAAATTCATGTGTTCATTCAAAATGGTTCTTGGTTTAACTTTTGGATTGGCTCGGTTTTGAGAAGTTGCACGTTACCGTTTAACACAAACTTATGAAAAGGAAGACCACCTTAGAAGATACAATTGGTCCTGTCAGCAATCTCATGCTCCGTTTCCTTCAGCTTCATCTATATATATATATATATATATATATATATATATATATATATATATTTGAGTTGTTTATTATAATAATGTAAAGCATTGAGTGCATCAGCTTTCTTCTTGAATTCTCGGTCCTCGTGTTTGTACTTGTCAGCATCTTTTACCATCTTCTCAATCTTTCCTTAGAGTCTACCTTTTTGATTGGTAATCGTGAGTTTATTCTTCTGACGAGTTGCTAATATCTTGGTTGTGACTGTGAGGATACCGTTGGCATCAATTTCATAGCACACCTTGACTTGTACATGTCTTTTTCGAACCGGTGGTATTCCAGAAACTGTGAACATCCCCAACAAATGGTTATCTGTAGATCTGGCTCTTTCACCTTGATAGACCCTGATACCAATGGAAGTTTGGTTTTCAAAGGCTGTTCGATAAATTCTAGATTTCTTCCTAGGTATTGTAGTGTTACGTGGGATCACCACGTCAAATATTTCTCCCATTAATTGTATACCAAGGGACAAAGGAGTGACATCCAATAACACCAAATCTCCAAACCTAATTTTATCACTGTTAGGGTTTAACTTTGCAGCCATAACTGCTGCACCATATGCGACAGCCTCATCCGGGTTTAGGCTCTTGCATAACTCCTTCCGTATCAAATGAACCAAACATTTCATCAAACTGTTGGCATGCAAATGAGCAAACATTTTCAAACGGTAACATCGGCCAAAGAAGAAATCACAGGCAAGAACAGATACAAGAGCAAATTAATGAAATCAAAAAAATTGGGTCAAATAGATGAAAAAAAGAGAGAATTGGAAAACATGTCACCTGAAAACCAATGACTCGGGAATGGAAAACGAGAGAGATGAATCAATAACGGAATGCTCTTGATTTTAGCATCGACAGTGACAAAAAATGTAATCCAATAAATCTTGACTTAATAAACAAAACAATAATTTAATTAAAAGTAGTTTGCTTATGATAAAACAATAGACAAAACTTATTGGATTCTCTTCACAAAAAAGATGCACCGGATCAGTTCTAAATTTAAAGGAAATATCAAATGTTACAAATGCATAACAACATTCACATAATTTAGATAAAATGTTAACTAATTAGGGTTCTACATAATATGAACACAAATGCAAATCAAATCAACATAGAAACCATGCCTTAGTTAAAATTTTAAAAGAAGATTATATGTAAGCTTACAAGAACTTGGTACTTGACTCGTGGATTACACGTACATAAGAACACGGACAGGGGCGGATCTTTTATAGGGCTAGGGGGTTGTGGCCCCCCTGGTTTTTTTGGCATAAATAGTCCATCTGCTTTAACTTTATACATATTTAGCCCAAAAATATAAAATTTTGACTATGGCCCCTCTGTTCACCAATGTTTATACAAATTATATTTTCGGCCCCCCAAATGAAATATTGAAGGTCCGCCACTGAACACGAAATTTATTAATGTTCTTGAAAGAAAAGCATTGATACAAAATCAAATCACCTCACTGAAAATCTTCGTTGTAGAAACTTAGCTTCGTTGAATATGAAATTGTAATTTTATGCAACATGATTCATTGTATAAATGAAGCCTACCCATAAGATAAAATTTTGAGTACAATTTGTTCCTGATTTTTTGCAATTATGCTGAACATATTTTCAATTTAGGATATGATTTGCGTTTCAAATTTTGAATGTGATTTCAAATTGTAACGAAAAATAATGGAATGAAATCCTCCTTAATAAATGAAGGTTTTTTGCCACATGTCAATCTCTCATCAGTTTTGACACTTGTCGTTTTGTGGTATTTTTGAAATAAATATTATCCACTTGTTAATTTTTGGTTTGTTTTAATTTTTAAAATTAAAGTCAAATACTTATATATGGAAAGCATTATATATATATATATATATATATATATATATATATATAATATTAAATTGCAATAAATACGTTTCTTCATTCCATATTTTAAAATTGTACATTAAAAAATATTTTTTTTGTTATACTTTAATGTTTAATCTTTTTTTAAATCAATCCGCGTAATACACGGGTTTCACACCTAATGTAACAATAAACCTCAATCAACGTAAACCAGAAAGGTTCAACCAAAGAAAGATTTATAAAAATCTCTGTCACAATAACAACACAATTACAATCACAATTTCATATATATATATATATATATATATATATATATATATATATATATATATATAAATGAATGTTTTTTTGCCACATGTCAATCTCTCATGAGTTTTGACACTTGTCATTTTGTGGTAATTTTTAAATAAATATTATCCACTTGTCAATTTTTGGTTTGTTCCAATTTTTAAAATTAAAGTCATATAGTTATATATGGAAAGCATTAAATATCATATATATAATATTAAATTGCAATAAATACGTTTCTTCCTTCCCTATTTTAAAATTGAACATTAAAAAATATTTTTTTGTTTACACTTTAATGTTTAATCTTTTTTTAAATCAACCCGTGTAATATACGAGTCTCACACCTAGTTAATAACATGGGGAAGAAAAAACCAAGCACCGTAAAAGATGCCATGTGGCAAATAGGGATGCTAGAAAATGGATATGTAGCATATTTAAGTTTTGTTTATTAGGAGAGGTAGATTAGCATTATTTAACTAGTTGTGAGACCCATGTATTACATGGGTTATTTTTTTTAAAAAAAAGTTAGATATAAAAGTCTAAATATTTGAAAACTTTAAATTTATAAGAAAATAAGAAAAACAATGAATTATTAAAATTGCGATGTTTTTTTTATATTTTAAATTTAAACAAATAATTTAAATAAATTAATGACCTTAATTTGGGAATTTTTAAATTAAAATATAAGTTCATTAATGAAATTGATATCCATTTATTACTATATTTATTGTAATTATTACATTAAATGATTATGTAGAATTTAATAAAATAAGAAAAATCATAAAATGACATGTGGAAAAAAAATTAATTCAAAATAACCTAAAAATGACATTTGGCAAATTGAATGTGAATGTGACAAGTGGCAAAAAAAAACCTTCATTTATTAGAGTAGATATATTTAAATATTATAGTACTAATATATTGATAACAATAAGACTAGTGAGTGTGGTGTCATATTTATCACGGTCTATGTAGGCGACACGTCATATTTATCATACTTTAGCCAAAACTTGTCATTTGCATGACACGAGTTGCCACACTTGTCCTGCTTCTTTTTTTAATTAATATAGAAAATAAATATTCCAAACATACTTTATTAAATACTTAAATTTCATTAAACATAAAATAAATACAACAAACCAAAAAAACATAGAAATTCAAATTACAAACCTAGAAATGTAAAAAAACGAAACCATGAAAATTAAAAAGATGAAAGCTAGATGTTATATGTTTTTGCAAGCTCCTTTTTGGCTTTTATCACCATTTCCCGTTCGTATCCGGATTGCTCGTTTGTGGGTATCGTTAAGATAGACATGACACGATTTTTTTTTCTTTCTCTTGTGCAAGTTCCGGTTATCGCTCCAAGGACGACTTCAAATTGTCCATTTTTGTTATTAGTTGATCGATGTCGCCGAAACTAGTTGCCATCATTTTCTCCTTTCGCTTGACTCGGTCTCTTCCCATGGGACGAGTGGCTCTTGGAACTTCAATAAGGTCCTCTTCATTGAGGTCAATCTCAACATACGCATCGGACGATTGACTATATGTCGTTTCGGATGTTTTGGTTCTTCTTGAAGAACCACCCATACAAGTTTCGGAAGAGCCGACATCTTGCCATTTTTTTTGACAATTTTACAATGTTCCAAACATGTAGAAATTTGAATGAAGCCCCTTTTTTATTACGATACATTTCAAAAGCCTTCGGCAAAATGGTTTCGTCGTTTGGACCACTTTGTCATTTTCGTTTCACACTTGAAAACACATCGTTAAACTCTATCACCACTTTGTTGACATTTCGCCACTTCGAACAAACTTGGTCTTTTTTCCGGTAATTACCAAGATTCATCTCGTTGAGAAAATGTTGCATAGTTTTCCGGAAGAAAGTGGGACAGTCTAGATTGTTTCCGATCAACGGATCTTTGGAAACATCCACCCAAGCACGAGCTAACGCCTTTCACTTTTTTTTGGAACCACCCTTCGAATTTTTTTTTTTTGTTGTTGTGAAATTAGAGTTGTCTTTGAAATTGTGGTTGATTTTGGAATTGAGGTTGTTTTTGGTATTGTGTTTGACCTTGAAATGGGTAATAAATTCCACCAAAGTGTAAATTTAGTGGAGAATAAATAGGCCGATCGCGTTGATTTTGAACAAAGTTTGGAGAAGAATGTGAAATGTTTGGGTTTTTGGTTGTTTTTTTGGTATTTTTTTTAGGTCTTTGGTTGGTAGGGGAAACCATTTTTTTTGACAAAATTGTATTGGTTGAGTGAAAATATAAAGATGATTAAGTGGGATAAATTATAAGATATAGTGATATTTATATAGGGTAAAAAGTGAGAATTTTTTGATTTCTTTTTTTTTTTTGAAAAAAACGTCACTTAGGACCCTCCAACATTCAGATCATCAAACCCAATAACCTCTGTCAACGATAACATTTAGCCGAGATACCGAGCCGAGCTCAGTATGCCGAGAGGTAGCCGACCTGGTTGCCAAGGCCATACCGTCTAGCTTGATGTTTAACGGACTACTTAAATTTGTAAGTATAGAAAAAAATTATATGATTTATAAATAATATATTTTTTATTTTGTTTTTTATATTAAAAGTATAAATAAATATAACAAATATTATATATTTATTTAATATTTAAATACAAATATCTTAATTAAACTATGTATAAAAAAATACTAAAATAATTTGATATACATATTTACTACTTACATATACAAGAATTTTTCTTTTAGATATATGAATAATTAACTATTGTTATTTTCACCTTTTATATTTATATTTTATTAGAAAAATTCTATATATTTATTAATATGATAATATTTTATTTTGTTATATAATTTTTAAAATGATCACTAAAAATGTATATCAATACAATAATTATATATGAGGCAATATCTAAATATTTTTATCAATTTTATATAATTTATTTGTTTTAATGAATATCCATTTTTAATGAACCTGAAATTTAAAATAAAATGCCAAAAAAAGTTAATTTAAAATAAAACAAAATTGGTGTGGTGAACTTTTCATTCAGGTTAATCAATACCTATATTTAAAATAAAACAAAATTGGTGCGGCGCTATGTAATCATTTATGATTACAGCACGTCTGTTGCGCCGGTACACCAGAGGTTTAGAGCGGCAGATATGAAATATATGGCTGAGGTTGAATATTAAGATCTCTATTTCATTTTTAATCTCAACGGAACATATATATATATATATATATATATATATATATATATTGTTGTAAATAATTGGTGGTGTTACAAATAATTGGTGGATGACATAATAATTGGTGCATGGCAAATTTGTCAACATTTCTAACTAGTTACAATTATATGTTAGTAAAGTTTGTAGTATAAATACCCCTCCATTGTAAAGAATGAATTACACCAAAAGTTATAAGAGATATAACTTTCATATTCTCTCCAAATCTCCTTACTTCTTTCTTAAAGGTTCTTAGTTTAGTTTTACTAATCTTGTTTTAATTACATCAATTCATAACACGTTATCAGCACGA